ATCACTGATCTAAATGTCATGTTAGTTCCCCCGATCACTGATCTAAATGTCATGTTAGTTCACCCGTTCACTGGTACTCAGGAATCACTGATCTAAATGTCATGTTAGTTCCCCCGATCACTGGTACTCAGGAACCACTGATCTAAATGTCATGTTAGTTCCCCCGACCTAATATGAAGGTCCACAATTGCACTTGGGAAGCTGTGAAAAGGCTAAGTAATGTACATATTCTATAAAACCCCTTCCATTCTGCTGCCAATTTCTTTTATAATACAGCAACAGAATGTTAACAGATCTTTTTTTATCAGGAAATAACAACCGTGTCACAAAAGAGAGAGCATAAAAAGCATAAAACAAGACTACAATAGTACATCAAACACTGAACATCACAAGTGTTGATACACACAATCAAATACACATCATTTCTGTTACATTAGTGGCGCCAAATGTTTGTAATTCAGGAAGAGCAGGAGGTACATGTACTATTATCACACACAGAAATCATGATTACTGTGTGTGAGTGAGCTGTGTCTACTATCGTAAACACCTGCTACATGATCATAACCTACCATGTATCCCAGCCTCCGAAACGTAACAGATGTAATATTGATATCAATATATACAGCTATACTGATCTCAGTAATACACAGGAGATTCTTAGTCTGAAGTATTCCCACGATATACACATCTATATTACAGTATAAGTTGAACACATTAGCTTTAATTTAAGTATGACTTATAACTATTATACTTCTCACCCATAGTACTTTTACAGACTGGCAAGATATTTTTAGTAAAATGAAATCATGGTAATATAGCACCTAGTCGATCATTTCTACATGTCTAAATAATGTACATTGACCTTGTTGATAAAAAACATGCCTACATAAGACAATGGTGAGCTGAGTTACTGGTACAAGTATACAGAAAGACAGCCGAACTAACACTGAGGAAGTCAGGTAACCACAGTGTACAACACTTCTTTTGTATATGTAAAAATTGTTACAGGTAGGTTTAAGAGATCAGGGCAATGCTCATGGAATACCTTTCTTATTTCCCCCTTATACATGTTTATATATATATATATCTGATACACATTTCCAATGAACATTTATTTTAAAACCACAATCCTAGACCAAACCAACTCTATATTGGTAAAGAGGCAAGTCACTACGCTTTGTCAATGAGGGTTGTCTACCATTAACAATAAACATTTTCCTTGAAAAGATTTCCAAGGTCAAAGGTTATACGTAGACCTCTGCCATTTATCATGTAACTACCAAACAGGAGAGGACAAAGACATGTAACTACCAAACAGGACAAAGACATGTAACTACCAAACAGGAGAGGACAAAGACATGTAACTACCAAACAGGAGAGGACAAAGACATGTAACTACCAAACAGGAGAGGACAAAGACATGTAACTACCAAACAGGAGAGGAATGCTGCCAAAGCTAGTTAAGCTGATAGTTTACATTGAACTTTGGTGTGGCCTCATTTTGCACAAATGTCCCATGCTAAATGTAAAAGATTCAGTCTAAATTATTTACCAAATGTTAGAAGATTTATACATAATAATCCATTATTTGAAGTAGTGTATTGACATTTCAACCTAATGTACATCATTTATGACCCTGGACATCAACTTTTAAACCAAACCTGAATCAACGACATAGAGTGAAGCTAAATCAATTACCAAATGTTTAAGAACAGGTCAATGATGTTAGAACAGTGAGTACACCAGAGGTGACCTTAATATACAGATCATACCAAGCAACCTGTCTAATATATAATGTCTATCTATAAAATAAATGAGATTCATTTGTGATAAAATATAACAGTAACAAATAAAAGAAGCTAAAACATCAACAGTCTCTTTTAAGCTCATTACCTTACTGTGTACAACTCATAGTTTACGCTGTACAACTTATAGCATCCTCTCATAGTTTACATTGTACAACTCATAGCATCCTCTCATAGTTTACATTGTACAACTCATAGCATCCTCTCATAGTACAACTCATAGCATCCTCTCATAGTTTACATTGTACAACTCATAGTTTACGTTGTACAACTCATAGCATCCTCTTATCGTTTATGTTGTACAACTCATAGTTTACGTTGTACAACTCATAGCATCCTCTCATCGTTTACGCTGTACAACTCATAGTTTACGTTGTACAACTCATAGTTTACGTTGTACAACTCATAGTTTACGTTGTACAACTCATAGTTTACGTTGTACAACTCATAGCATCCTCTTATAGTTTATGTTGTACAATTCATAGCATCCTCTCATAGTTTACGCTGTACAACACATAGCATCCTCTCATAGTTTACGTTGTACAACTCATAGCATCATCTCATAGTTTACGTTGTACAACTCATAGCATCTTCTCATATAGCAACTTCTCATAGTTTACATTGTACAACTCATAGCATCATCTCATAGTCTACGTTGTACAACTCATAGCATCTTCTCACATAGCAACTTCTCATAGTTTACATTGTACAACTCATAGTTTTCATTGTACAACTCATAGTTTACGTTGTACAACTCATAGTTTTCATTGTACAACTCATAGTTTACATTGTACAACTCATAGCATCCTCTTATCATTTATGTTGTACAACTCATAGTTTACGTTGTACAACTCATATCATCCTCTTATCGTTTACATTGAACAACTCATAGTTTACGTTGTACAACTCATATCATCCTCTTATCGTTTACATTGAACAACTCATAGTTTACGTTGTACAACTCATATCATCCTCTTATCGTTTACATTGAACAACTCATAGTTTACGTTGTACAACTCATAGTTTTCATTGTACAACTCATAGTTTACGTTGTACAACTCATAGCATCATCTCATTGTTTACGTTGTACAACTCATAGCATCTTCTCACATAGCAACTTCTCATAGTTTACATTGTACAGCTCATAGCATCATCTCATAGTTTACGTTGTACAACTCATAGCATCCTCTCATCGTTTACGCTGTACAACTCATAGTTTACGTTGTACAACTCATAGTTTACATTGTACAACTCATAGTTTACGTTCTACAACTCATAGCATCATCTCATAGTTTATGTTGTACAACACGAACATTCGGTAATATTCCGTGGTGAACAACCAATAACATTCACTAATAGTCTATGGTGAACAACTCATAACATCCACAAACAGTTAATGGAGTACAACCCATAACATCCACTAATAGTCTATGGTGAATAACCCATAACATTCACTAATAGTTTATGGAGTACAACCCATAACATCCACTTATAGGCTATGGCGTACAACCCATAACATCCACTAATAGGCTATGGTGTACAACCCATAAAATCCACTAATAGTTTATGGTGTATAACTCATAGCATCCACTAATAGGCTATGGAGTTTAACCCAAAACATCATCTTTGGTGAGTAATTTACAACACTACTGTGTATAACCAAGAACACCAATTACGATGAACACACTCTTGCGTGTAAAACCAAGAACACCTATTAAGATGTACAACGAGTCACACCGACATGGTGTACAAACAAGGACAGGAGGCCCAGAGGGCCTGTATCGCTCACCTGTTTATTTTGTTACATGAAACTGACGTATAGGTAACTTCAGATCAAATTTGGTAACTAGAACACAAGACATTTTAACATCTCTTAAACGCTTAAGATATTGAAATTGTAATTTTAAAGCTTTTAACCCATGTTGACCTTTGACTCCAGCTAGCACTTAAAGTTGACATTGGACCTCATTACTGTTTCAAAAACAAAGATTTGCACTGCTGGTCTACATAACATACCAAAGTATCATGACGCTAGTCCAAATGGTTCTTAGGATATTGTTGTTTCAAGTTTTTAACATATTTGACCCCTGTGACCTTGAAACTACTACAAGGTCATTTAAATGAGGAAACTTTATAGCACTCTATCCCAGGTACCCGATTGCCAAATGTTATGACCCTGGGCCTTATGGAACTTAAGTAGAAGATTGTTAAAGCTTTTAACCCATGTTGACATTTGACCCCCCGACTAGCACTTAAAGTTGACCATTGACCTCATTACTGTTATAAAGAAAAAGATTCGCACTGCTGGTCTACATAACATACCAAAGTATCATGACTCTAGTCCAAATGGTTCTTAGGATATTGTTGTTTCAAGTTTTTAACATATTTGACCCCTGTGACCTTGAAACTACTACAAGGTCATTTAAATGAGGAAACTTTATAGCACTCTATCCCAGGTACCCAATTGCCAAATGTTATGACCCTGGGCCTTATGGAACTTAAGTAGAAGATTGTTAAAGCTTTTAACCCATGTTGACATTTGACCCCCCGACTAGCACTTAAAGTTGACCATTGACCTCATTACTGTTATAAAGAAAAAGATTCGCACTGCTGGTCTACATAACATACCAAAGTATCATGACTCTAGTCCAAATGGTTCTTAGGATATTGTTGTTTCAAGTTTTTAACATATTTGACCCCTGTGACCTTGAAACTACTACAAGGTCATTTAAATGAGGAAACTTTATAGCACTCTATCCCAGGTACCCAATTAACAAATGTTATGACCCTGGGCCTTATGGAACTTAAGTAGAAGATTGTTAAAGCTTTTAACCCATGTTGACATTTGACCCCCGACTAGCACTTAAAGTTGACCATTGACCTCATTAATGTAATAAAGAAAAAGATTCGCACTGCTGGTCTACATAACATACCCAAGTACCATGACTCTAGTCAAAATGGTTCTTAGGATATTGTTGTTTCAATATATTTGACCCCTGTGACCTTGAAAGTAGGTCAAGGTCATTTTAATGAGGAAACTTTATAGCACTCCATCCCAGGTACCTACTGGCAAAATATCATGACCTTAGGTCCTCCAGTTCTTCTTCAGACGTCGTTTAAAAGAAAAAGTTGAAGGACGGACGACAGATGCCGCAGTACGACATAAGCTCACCTGGCCCAAAGGGCCAGAACTGGGAATATGGATTAAAGTTTTAGCTAGATATATATAAGAGGTGAAGAGGATCAAATGGGAACATGCTTATGGAAGTAAAAAAATATCTTAGGTAGAAAGCAAATTGTAAAATATAGATATTTATAGAATATACATACATATAGTATAACTGGAGGGGTAGACAAATTTGCGAGGTCAGTACATATATCATTGAATATTAATGCTTGAGAACTGTAATAATGAAGATGGTCTTCATCGTAAGTAAAATGTTACCTCCATAGTCTGTACAAATCTAGAGTAATATATAATATAACTTATATATTTGCTTTTGATATTGATAAAAAGGAAGCTGATATTTATAGTAATATAGGTGAAAATTAACCAACAGTTGCATGGCTAAGTTTTATGTTGCTTACAGAAAAGTGACACAAATAATGACAATGTCAACGAATCAAGATGTTAATTTCTTATCTTGGATTACTACTTTGATCATGCTTTTCATAGCAGCATATCTATTAAGAAACACCATTGCTTTGGAGTTTTCGTAATCTTGTCGTAGCTTTGTGAGTCTATTGTGAATTCGAAGAAAACGACTCTCAAATCCCACGATTTCCTTGCATATCTGGTCGTTGTCCGTAGCCACCTCTTTCTTGGACAGTCGCATTTCACGTGAAGCTGCAAGATATCAACACTATGTTTAAATATCGAACTGAAGATATCTGCACCATCTGATTCAGTTGTGAATAATGCTTATAATAATGGTTAAAGCAGTTTTATCTTAAGAAAACATTCATTCTAACAGAATAATTATTATAAAACCAAGCTATACTGTCAAGAAGTTACCTGGACATACCTATTTTGTTTTCGCTGGTGCCAGCTGATTGATCCGACATCCCTGCAAACCCCCGACACGATGCAAGTAGGCCGCCCGTCGTACCCTCCAAGGCTCCCCTGCCCGTGAGTTTCTGGTGGGACAGGGAATCCTGTGATCTGTGAGAGTTACTGGACCCAATTGAGCCAGCAAAATGCCTTGATGTACCCGCTAAATCTACAAAGGCAGCAAAATGCTATGTTTGTTAGTCTCATCACAAAAAGAACAATATCCAGTGCAAATTAAACATCAAGGAAACTGAGTTAATTAGTTGTTTGAATAGTCATAATGTAATATTAACAAGAGGCCCATGGGGCGTAACAGTCACTCAAGTAAAATTGAAAAAGAACATACATGTAACTACCAGTGTTTGCACCTCTTATTAACCCACCTTGGGGTAGCCCCTTCTTGAATATAAATTGTGGCCCTCATCATCTAGGGATCCTTGTTGGACAATTTGGTGAAAATCTACCAGAAATTTTCAGAGAAGATGTCTTTTGAAGGTTTTGCATTAAAAGACCTGTTAAGACCAGTCTATCTTGACTATAAATTCTGTTTTGCACTCTGTGACCCCTAATGGCATCCACTCCTAAGTACTCTTGAGTATTCACTCTGATCATCACCTATGGGTCATTTTATGGAGAATTCATAATTCACAAGTTAGATTTAGAGGAGAAAATATTTGAAAGGTTTAATACTATGTGACCTTTATAGCATGGCCCTGCCCTTCAGCCCCTGTGGGGTCAGCCCCTTCTTGAGTATGGATTCTGATCCCCACCACAAGCTGTTGATTACCACTTAAATTTGTTGGACCCACATTTTCAGCTGCCCTAACCAGTACGTGCTCCCTGATTCTTTACAAAACTGCCAATCCTGCATAGACCCACCCAGCATTACAAAATCTAGTTGGACTTGCCTGCTAAAGCTGCTAGATGTTAATATCCAGACCAATTCAGTGCGCCATATTTAGTTACCAAGAGATAGACCGAAGATTTGAGGTGACAAAAATAGCCAGAAGAAAAGGGTGAAATATCCAAAAGTTGAGTTGGAGAACCAGCAGCTTGCAGAAATCGCACATTTGTGTGAAAATTGTCATGATTGTGCCTCCAATGTATGGATGATGTGTGCACAAGTGTTTTTTGGTTCACTGTGTGGTCACACAACTGTACACATTTTTGACTTTTTAAGTGATATAACTTTTTTTTAAAAATATTTATATATAGAAAAACTAGGAAATATTATATTAGACCAGATAGATTTGTAGTTATCCCTAAAACAATCATAATGATCTGTACCTTCAGCTCCTGCCCGCTTGGCTGCAGCTTTGACATCCTTGGGTGATGGGGGGCGGGACTTCTCCAGGATGTCGTCAGTTGTCGATCTCTTGATCATTTCCTTCAGCATGTTGTACCTCATAGGTGGCGGGCTGTCCTTCGAACTTTCATAGTCCAGCTCAAGATGATGGACAACATTGGAAACCTCCTGGAAACGGCGCTGTAATTCACGTAGTTCTCGTGATAGCTTATTGTTATCCTTCTTCAAACTTTCTTTTGTTCTGAATGGAATTGCTACAGAAAAAAAAGGATAAAATATTACAGAGGGCACATAAATGAAGACAAATTTTGGGGTTGTTGGATAAAAACAATAATCACAACGGTCACTCAAGTTGTAATACAACTGTTATTTGCTGTTGTGAAGTGACAAAAATAATAAATATAATCCAAAAATCAGTTTTTGACAGTGGATTCTCTGACAAAATGATGGTAGTAGAGTTACCATCATATATCATATCTTAAGCTGGCTACTGTCAGCAAAAAAAAAGTGAAAAAAATATATACATAATATTGTAAATATTCTGACCTCCCCCAGGGAAAATGTATGACCTTGGGGTAGTCAAATTCACAATTTTGATAGAGCACCTTGAAGACCTTTCCATCTACAATGAAGATTTGATTTTAGAATATCTGGGTCTGAAGAAGAAGTTTGTTGAAATTTTAGCCAATTTGACCCTTTTGTTGGGCCCTGGGGTGGAGTCGGGGTATTAATTTTCAAAACATTCCAACCAAGTTTCCCACTGAAATTGTACAAAATTTATCCATAAGTGTCTTATCTCTATATAAATGGAAAATTTGTTGGTCGATTATTGAAATTTTAGCAAACCCATTTTGGGTTGAGGTAAGCTCAATATTTAACTCACACATTTGGTTTGCTTTTGACCATAGAACCTTTCCACTCAATTTTACTGGCATCAGTTCAACACTTTTGGCCAAAAAGTCAAAAATGTGAACTCTCTACATTCACATGTTAACAACGACAGACAAAAGGCAATGCAATAGGTGAAATGAGACTTTGTCTCAGGTGATCTAAAACATGTGCAGACAGACTGGCGGGTGGTGTACGAACCTACAGATTTCTCCGATAGTACTGGCTGGGGATAAATAACTTCTCTCCTCTGGGCACTTTACCTCCAGCTTCCATGGCTCTTCATTGACATATGTTATAATTTCAATATTCTAACATACCTTATAATATCAGCATTCTTATGTATAACATCAATGTCCCTGTACATACAGGCTTTGTCATCTGTGCTGTAACACTAAACCTAGTGTGGCTAAGCCTGCTGCATCATTTACATTTTTAAATTACTGAAACATACCATGATGAGAAATGTTATCGCTTCTCTTATCTTTCCCCATGTTTTCATCTTAACACACAGGTGAGGACATCAGAAAGGCAAGGACATCGCCCAGCAGCGAGAACATCAGAAGACCCTGGCGTTGACAACCTGAAACAGTGTACACAAATTAAATAGTCGTAATGAGCAAAACAGCCATTATACGTATACATGTATCTGTGATCAGTGTACGGTAAAAAAACACCAAGCTAGTGTTCAATATTTCATGTACAACAGCTTGCTTCGTTCAATAGCAGATATACACTTTAGCAGACAGTATTTAATCTGTTACACACTATTAGGTTCTGCTATATACACAGACAGTATCAAATCAGCAGCCCTAGGTTCTGCTATACTCACCAAAGCAGCCCTAGATTCTGCTATATACACTATATACACAGACAGTATTAAATCAGCAACCCTAGGTTCTGCTATATACACAGACAGTATTAAATCAGCAGCCCTAGGTTCTGCTATATACGTACACAGACAGTATTAAATCTGTTACACCCTGAAGCAGCCCTAGGTCTTTTACACACTGAAGCAGATTTAATACTGTCTGTGAATATAGCAGAACCTATGGCTGCTTTAGTGAGTATAGCAGAACCTAGGGCTGCTATATACACAGACAGTATTAAATCAGCAGCCCTAGGTTCTGCTATAAACACAGACAGTATTAAATCTGTTACACACTGAAGCAGCCCTAGGTTCTGCAATATACACAGACAGTATTAAATCTGTAACACACTGAAGCAGCCCTAGGTTCTGCTATATACACAGACAGTATTATAATCTGTTACACATTGAAGCAACCCTAGGTTCTGTTATATACACAGACAGTATTAAATCTGTTACACACTGAAGCAGCCCTAGGTTCTGCAATATACACAGACAGTATTAAATCTGTAACACACTGAAGCAGCCCTAGGTTCTGCTATATACACAGACAGTATTAAATCTGTTACGCACTGAAGCAGCCCTAGGTCTGTTACACATGGATCAAGAAACCCAAGGTCTGTTACACATGGATCAAGCAGCCATAGGTCTGTTACACATGGATCAAGAAACCCAAGGTCTGTTACACATGGATCAAGAAACCCAAGGTCTGTTACACATGGATCAAGAAACCCAAGGTCTGTTACACATGGATCAAGAAACCCAAGGTCTGTTACACATGGATCAAGAAACCCAAGGTCTGTTACACATGGATCAAGCAGCCCTAGGTCTTTTACCCACTGAAGCATCCCTAGGTCTGTTACACACTGAAGCAGCCCTAAGTTCTGCTATATACACGGACAGTATTAAATCTGTTACACACTGATTAAGCATCCCTAGGTCTGTTACGTAAACACACTGATCAAGCAGCCCTAGGTCTTTTACACACTGAAGCATCCCTAGGTCTGTTACACACTGAAGCAGCCCCTAGGTCTGTTACACACATGATCAAGCAGCCCTAGGTCTGTTACACACTGAAGCAGCCCCTAGGTCTGTTACACATGGATCAAGAAACCCAAGGTCTGTTACACATGGATCAAGCAGCCCTAGGTCTGTTACACACTGAAGCAGCCCTAGGTTCTGCTATATACACAGACAGTATTAAATCTGTTACACACTGAAGCAGCCCTAGGTTCTGCTATATACACAGGCAGTATTATAATCTGTTACACACTGAAGCAGCCCTAAGTTCTGCTATATACATGGACAGTATTAAATCTGTTACACACTGAAGCAGCCCTAGGTCTGTTACACACTGATCAAGCAGCCCTAGGTTTGTTAAACACTGAAGCAGCCCTAGGTCTGTTACACACTGATCAAGCAGCCCTAGGTCTGTTACACATGGATCAAGCAGCCCTAGGTCTGTTACACATGGATCAAGCAGCCCTTGGTCTGTTACACATGGATCAAGCAGCCCTAGGTCTGTTACACACTGATGATCAAGCAACCCTATAGGTCTGTTACACACTGAAGCAGCCCTAGGTCTGTTACACACTGATCAAGCAGCCCTAGGTCTGTTACACACTGAAGCAGCCCTAGGTCTGTTACACACTGATCAAGCAGCCCTAGGTCTGTTA